TGTGTGAACTAATATTTAGCTGAATAAATATTAAAGTAATAAATATAAAATAATATTTAGCTGCCTTAGTTTTTCAAATAGAATAGTCCTTAAATATTATATAAACTATAGTTTTTCAAAATTGTAACTATTAAAAAAAAAAACATTTGAAAGTGTGGGAACTAAAACTGAATAAGTATAGTTAAATTACTGAAGTAAGATTGAAATGCATCGTTTTCCTGGTAAGTTTTCTTATTGATTTGATTTCTGCTGTTCCAACCCATTAAACCTAGACTTCTGGCTTAAAATATGCTTCAATGTATACCTTTTCCCCTTCCAGTTCACAATCCACCTAACGAAATGCTGTCACTCAGAATTTTTATATTTCACTCTTTTCACGACTGTCATGACATAATAGACTTGCTATTTTCTTTCCTTTCTTCAATATTCTTTGTAGTTTCATTTGTCTGTTAAAATGGAACTTTCATTCGAAAATGTGCTCTAGATACCCATGGTGAAGTTCACTTATCATTTTCCAACCACATGGCATTGCATAATTATTTGTTTCAAAACGTTCTCAGTTCTTGAGGAAGTTGTCTCTTTAAGGACTTTCTTTTTGTCAATGATTCCCCTTCTATTTGGAATGCCTCTCTGTAATTTCCTTGAAGGTTTATGTATATTTCATTACACTTGATTAAAGGTTCAGACTTTCAGTTTCCTAGTAAAAAAACATTTCAAAAGTAAATGAATTAAATGAAGATAGTGAAAAAAGATTTCAGTGCCTTTACTCATAACTGACACCAAAGAAAATATTCACTGGTTTAGAATGATTGGACAGTATGTAAAAAGTGAAATGACTTGTGAACACGCCATGGACCTACCCTACCATGATATCAGATGGTCATATTTTTCTTTCGTTAAAGGAGTTATTTTATTATTATTATATTTTTTTTTTACTTCAATCCTGCAAGCTAGCCTGATCATAGCTCAACTTGTTGAGGTAGGAGATTTGAATCTCTCCACCCTGTTGAATTAATCATGCAAGTCAGATGAAGTATATTTTTATTTTTAGACAGATGTCTTCACGTACAGTCATACCCTGATATTGATAACAAACCTTAAGTTCATTGGTGCTATGTTTCCGTGCCTTCTGAAAAGCTTTATATAGTATCTGAAAAATTATGCAGACAATAAACGCTTAATGGAAATTTTATATTTCAAAGTTCACAGGTGGTTAAAATATGCTGCTAATTAGCATATTAGTTGTGCAGGAAAAATTATTTATTGGAAGTAAAATTCTGTTTCAAATTCATTTGTATACCTACTTCTATATTCAGCTGCATTGTGTTTCCATCCGATTTTTATCCAGTTGTTGGATAATGGGCGCTAAGCTGTCAGTCCTTTATCTATTTTAAGTCAATCAAACCATTTTTCCCGGTCTTACTGTTGTTTATTTATTTGAATCAGCGCATATGGGATAATTTCAAGTCAAACCAAGAGCTGCTGGTTGCAGTTCTTAATCTTCTTATGCATTGTTGTAAAATAAGAGAGAACAGGCGTGCTTTATTGAGGCTTGGAGCTCTCGGATTACTTCTAGAAACAGCTAGGCGGGCCTTTTCTGTGGATGCCATGGAGTCAGCTGAAGGCATTCTTTTGATTGTGGAGAGTCTAACAATTGAAGCAAATGAAAGTGAAAGTATTAGCATTGGACAAAGTGCTCTTACTGTCACTAGTGAACAAACTGGTGCAGGTGAACAGGCCAAAAAGATTGTTCTTATGTTCCTGGAAAGATTATCTCAACCTTTTGGTTCAAACAAACAACAGAGGAACACTGAAATGGTTGCTAGAATATTGCCTTACTTGACATATGGTGAACCTGCTGCTATGGATGCACTCATACAACATTTTACCCCGTACCTGAATGATTGGGATGAATTTGACCGATTACAGAAGCAACATGAAGACAACCCGAAGGATGAGTGCATCTCTAAGCAAGCTGCCAAGAATAGATTTACTGTGGAAAATTTTGTTAGAGTCTCGGAGTCTCTGAAAACAAGCTCTTGTGGGGAGAGACTGAAAGATATTATTTTGGAAAAGGGCATTACTAGCCTTGCACTTAAGCATCTGAGAGATAGTTTTGCCATTGCAGGACAGGCTGGCTTCAGATCTAGTGTGGAATGGGCATTAGCCTTGAAACGTCCATCAATTCCGCTTATATTGTCTATGCTAAGGGGTTTGTCAATGGGGCATTTGGCTACACAGAAGTGTATTGATGAAGGAAGGATCCTACCTTTGCTTCATGCACTGGAAGGAGTTGCAGGCGAAAATGAGATTGGCGCTAGGGCAGAGAACTTGTTGGATACACTCTGTAACAAGGATGGAAATGGAGATGGATTCTTAGAGGATAAAGTGCGAATGTTACGGCATGCCACAAGAGATGAAATGAGGCGGCGTGCTTTGAGGAAGAGGGAAGAAATGCTGCAGGTACTGTCTCATTGTAGTCCATGATTGAGAACTGCTTTGCCTAGTATTTCCTAATGCGTTTGCTTATACTTGTCTAGTGCAAACGTTATTTGTTTAACTTTACTATTTTTTATGCTTCTGGTTTGGTTACATGTTGCTAGAGTGTTTTATCATCTAAAAAATAAATTCCAAAATAAAGTGTTCCCTCTTTCTCCTTTCTAAATAATTTGAATTATAATTTGGTTTCTTCTTGCAAACAAAGTTCCATTCTGACAATTGAAAATATGAATTGGTAGCTGTGTATTTGGAAGTGGGAAGTGTATGCACATGAATAATGTTGGCTGTGCATTGTCTGAAAGTGTGTTTGGATTCGATTAGTGTATAATTACTTTCATGGTCTTCCGATTTCCCGACTTTATTCCTTGTTTCTGTACTTTCTACCGCTGTGCTGTTTTGTTTAATTTAGGTAGCATATGTTCCGTGTGCATACGTTTCATATATTTTATATTTCGTGGTTTCAGATTTTAAGACTACCAATATAAGCAGTGGAGATAATTCCTTTTTGGTGATACTGCAGGGACTTGGAATGCGACAGGAACTGGCTTCAGATGGTGGTGAACGGATCATCGTTTCAAGACCAGCTCTTGAAGGTTTGGAAGATGTAGAGGAAGAGGAAGATGGGTTGGCATGCATGGTGTGCAGAGAAGGTTATAGTTTGAGGCCTACCGACTTGCTCGGTGTTTATTCTTACAGCAAGAGGGTTAACCTTGGTGGTATTGGGTCTTCAGGAAGCACTCGTGGGGAGTGTGTTTACACTACTGTGAGTTATTTCAATATAATTCATTATCAGTGCCATCAAGAGGCCAAAAGAGCAGATGCTGCCTTGAGAACCCCAAAGAAAGAATGGGAAGGAGCAACACTCAGGAATAACGAATGCCTCTGCAATTCCTTGTTCCCGGTCAGAGGTCCTTCTGTCCCATCAGCACAGTATGTTCGATATGTTGACCAGCATTGGGACAACCTAAATGCTCTTGGTCGTGCTGATGGAACTCGACTTCGGCTCTTGACGTATGATATTGTTCTGGTATGTTTGTTTCCTATTGTCAGTTTGTGGATGGTTCTTATTTCTGTTAGAAACTTTCTCCTTCCTGGATTAGCTTCTCTACGTTCTAATGCTTTAATTTGTCTGCTGTATTCTTCTGTCATGTAGATGTTGGCTCGATTTGCTACTGGAGCATCATTCAGCTTGGAAAGCAGGGGTGGCGGCAGTGAAAGCAATTCTCGGTTCCTTCCCTTTATGATCCAAATGGCTCGTCACCTACTGGATCAAGGGAGCCCTTCTCAACGTTCTACGATGGCTAAATCTGTTTCGATCTATTTGTCCTCGTCTGCTGCAACAGATTCACGTCCATTCTCTCCAGGATCACAACCTTCAGCTGCCACTGAGGAAACTGTTCAGTTCATGATGGTGAACTCGCTTCTTTCAGAATCTTATGAATCCTGGATGCAGCATCGCCGTGCATTCCTACAGCGTGGAATATTCCATGCATACATGCAGCATACTCATAGTCGGCCGACCAGTCGCTCATCAGCCAGTTCAACTTCTAAGATTGAATCAGGAAGTAATACCCCGAACACAGAAGCAGAGGAAACCAATGATTTATTGACTATTATTAAGCCAATGCTCGTCTACACGGGCCTGATTCAGCAACTGCAACATTTCTTCAAGGTCAAAAAACCATCGAATACGGCATCTTCTGCAAAGGAAGGGACATCCTCCACAGCATCCGAAGAGGAAAGCGAGACCCAGAACTTGGAAGGTTGGGAGGTGGTGATGAAAGTGCGACTTAATAACGTAAGGGAAATGGCGGGGTTCTCGAAGGAGTTGCTAGCATGGCTTGATGAAATGACTTCTGCCAGTGATCTTCAGGAGGCATTCGACATAATCGGAGTTTTGTCCGATGTTTTGACTGATGGAATTAGCCGCTGTGAAGACTTTGTACATGCTGCAATCGACACCAGAAAAGGCTGATGATAACCAACCAACCAGGGGGTGGTGGTATGGAGCTGATCTTTGTCACATGACAAATTTATAGAAACAAATACCATACTTCCTATGGTACGAAATGTTGATGAGCATTATGGACGTTTTCTTTGAAATCTGGATCTTGATATACATTTTCAGCTCCCTCGTAATCAAATATTATTTTACCCCCAAGATTTCTATTTTCTGTTGCTCAAATTATTAAATCTCACGTCCAGCCATATCTTGCTAAATTAGAGGGGGTAACATTTCAATTAAGGGATACTTTTTCTAATTTGTAATATCAGTTTTAATCCCATTTTTTCAATTAAAGGAGAGCTAGGAACATAATGTCATAAAATAACTCACTTCTTTCTATACTAGGCGATATAAAAAACGAAGATTTTAAGTTATAGGATCTCGACTAATCTCATGCACCTAGATTAATCTCACGAAGCAACCATCTGATCCTACCTAGATTAATCTCACGAAGCAACCATCTGATCCTACTAATTTCTAAGGTATGTCGTCGTCCTAGAAGTTAAAAGTGAAAATAATTGTAATTGATACCAATGAGTTTTTTCAACTTCTTCCAGAGGGGGACAACGGAAAAACAAACGACCGAGATTTGGGAAAGCGAAAAAAAAGTATCTAAAATCATTTGAATTCATGCTAGGTTAGCAATCCTACTCAACTCCACCTGTTGTTCCTCAATTCTGCTCACTGCTCTTGAAAGATCCATGCTAGCGAAAGACATGTTAACTTTACCGAGTCGCCTCTGCTTTATCTTTAATATCGCCTGCGAAACATCACAAATTGGAGGTCGTTTTCTCGGTACTTTGTGCAAGCATCTATGACCAATATCAGCTAGCCTCCTTGCTTCTTCAAGGTTGCATTCTCCAGCTAGTTGCTTGTCAATTATTTCGTCAATCCCATCATGGCTCATACCAGCCTGAGACAGTATATTGAAAACCATGAAATGACTACTTCAAAAATCTTAACATTCTTGTACATGTAGGAAAAACTCACGAGACTAATATAGTCCACTAGATTTTGGTGCGGATGAATGGCCGTGATTAGTTCAAAAATGATTATGCCGAAACTATAGATGTCACTCTTCATCGTGAACTTGTTCGTAGCTATGTATGTCGGGTCGATGTAGCCGTATGTACCTTTCAGACCAGAATTCCGGCCATCGAAAACTTCCTCTTTTGACAGCCCAAAATCAGCAACCTACATCCAAGTCAGTCAGATATTCAAGAATGATGGCGAAATTCAGAGACAATAAACATGTGTACACTATATCACACATGGAGGGACCAACATGATTCTTTGGTTCGGAGCTTTCATACCGATCATGTTTTGATCTCTAAACTTTTAAATCTTCTATTTTAATCCCAGATTTTTTTTCTTTTGTTAACGGGAAGTCGGAGTTTGCTCCCCTATACTCAGGGGCACCTATGCCACCTCCAAGACCTAGACCCAGGAAACATCAAGGTTTTTGATATTAAGCTAAGGTTTAAATTTGAAACCTCTAAATCCGATGACCAAGTCAAGCCGTTGCCAACTGGACTGTACTTTGGAGCTTTAATCATACAAATTTATTTTAGTCCTTATCATTGACAAGGAATGTCTTCTGTTCCATTTACTTGATCGGTAGATTTCTATCCAAAACAACAAAATTGATCGGCACTTCTCTTTAAATTATTGGCATTACTTAGGGTGAGATACCAAACAATAAGAAATGCTCTCCAGAAAGTTACCTTAGCTCTCATTGTATGATCCAACAATATATTGGCAGACTTCAAATCACGATGTATGACAGGAGGAACAGCCTGTTCCAAGAAACATAAATGAATTATCCTACAAACACTTGCACCAATGAAACAGGAAAGATAAGGAACTTAGTATACAATACCCCTTCGTGAAGGTACTCGACCCCATGAGAAATATCGAGAGCAATCTGAAGCCGCTCGTCCCAACTCAAGACCCGATTTTCTGAATCTGAATTCATGTATGGCAAGAAACTCATTTACGGAAGAGAGTAAATCGGTTTAAATCTGAACTGCAAACTAGTCTGTCATAAATCTAAGGATTAAATTCTAATGTTGACACTGATGAAAATGTAAGATTTTCAAGTCGCATTCTATAAATGCTAACGCGTTTTTCACTTTCACCAGAGGACTTATAAAAGGTATTTTCAGAAAATCTTCAGACAATAGACATAAAAATATATCTTTCAATGTGGGCTTTGAACTCACTGTAAAGAAGGTTGTCTAAACTTCCATTACTCATGAACTCATAGATTAGCATGTGGCTTCCTTTATCAATGCAGTACCCCATCAAATTCACAAGATTACGATGATGCAATCTTCCTAGTAGACTAACCTGCAGCAAACCAACCTCTGGATATTAATAGAAAGTGTTCACCGATATCTAAATAAAAGTCAATATAAAGTATTTACAAAAGTAATTTCATGTGGAGAAAAATAAATTACCAAACCAATAGACAGTAGCATGGAGAGGAAAATATACAACTACTAAATGGTTAACTTCATCCTGAATTTCTCCTCTCTTGGCTAGGAAATAATCCTAAAAAGTTTTCCTTGACGCTAGTACACCGGATATCCGTGTCCTTATTATCTCTGGATACCAAGCCAATTTACATGCACCTCAACTAATTTAGCACAACTGTCTAACCCTAAAACATTTGGAGGTCGAAAACTCATCCTCCTGAAGTCCTTACAAACAATGATTCTCAAAGCAAAAGAATAGAAATGTTATTCTTGAGTGCCTTAATAGAGAAGAAGATTCTTAAGCAGGTTCTCTTGCCTGTTTTTGAGGGAAAAATAATTATAAATAGGACATATTAGCAAACATAATACATCCTATACTATATTGATACATGAGATTTGAGAAAAGAGAGCCTAGAATATCTACCCTAGACCACTGAAATGAAAATGTGGCTAATATTCTCACCTCTGTCTGAAACTCTTTTTCACCCTGTTTGGAATCTGAAGCAAGCACCTTAACAGCTAGAACTGCTCCATTGGGCATCTTTGCTTTATATACAGGACCATACGATCCCTGTCCCAAAAGAGTAGTGAAGTTCTCTGTAGCCTTCTGAATATCCCTGAAAAGTATAGGACAAGAACAAAAGGTCAAAGAGTAAGTAGGGGAAACAAGTGCATGAAATAATAATAATTCACAGGTTTTCTCATGCAAAGCATTTCAAAAAATAAGTAAACAAACAAAAGAAAAAACTTGCGTGAGAGATTAAATATTCTGCATACTTGTAAGGGTACTTAAGAACACCGGATGCAGAAGCTACAAAATCTTTGTGGTGGTGATTCCTCCAAGGGGACCAAGAATCTTTATGGAGCTTTTCAGATCCCGGAAAAGCTATGGAACCAGAAAGAGATGCACTGAATTCAGTACTCGCATCCACTCCATTTGTTCGAATCTGAATAGCTGCTAGACTACGCTCATTTGTACTTCGACGAAGGCGCACATTCTTTCTATACCATCTTATACCATAAAATACCAGGATAGCAATCAAAATACCAAGTGCCAAACCAACAGATATGCCGATGATAACTAGATCAGCTTGGTGACCCATTTTTTATCCTCGTATTATATTCAATCAGAGAAAACATCTTGCACAATGACAACTGAAGGTTTGCTGATCGGCAACCTACAAAGTGTGGATGTAGAAAGGTGAATGAAAAATGGAACATACAAGTCAAATATTCAAGAATGATGAAAAAATTCAGAGACAATAAACATGGAAGCACCAAATGATTCATTTCACATTTCATAGGCTATGTAAACTCAATGACTTCATCAGAAGAAGTTGTTACTCGCTATTTTATTACTCCAGAAACAAATTTCACTGGAAGGAAGAGCATTTGGGGGTCAACTCAGAGACTATCATAACAGATCACTTGGCCAAGGATATCTACTCGCATAAGTGGGTACTCCCATAAACTCCAAATGAATTACACAAAAACTTTTAAATGGAACACAAAAAGCACTTAAACCAAGAACTGTGAATCAAATAGCAAAACAGCATAGTTCCAGCAAAGTTATCAATCATCACCGATCATCGCCAACCAGGCAGAAGTTCTTGAAGGAACGTAAAACCCAAATTCCAATGAACGAGAACTTACAGAACTCCCAAAGAGGGGCGAAAACGACGAACTTGATGAAATTAAGCGAACCCCAGAAAGGTCAGGAACCCCCAAATGCTCAACGGCTGTAGAACAACGATCGACGATGAATTTCGTAGCTTCTGATGGGTGTTTTCCGGTTGGGTCACGACTAAATAGGACGAAAGAGGACCCAGTCCAGAGAATGTAACTGCAAGAGCTGCAAGTGGCAAAAAGAAAAGAGAAGAATAAGGAGGAGGCGAATGGGATGTTAGAGAATTCGTATTTGGTGGGAACCCAAATCCCATTGGTCGAATATTTTTTGTCACAGTCACAGCACGGATCAGCCGTCATTACTCTCGTCTTGTTCTAATGCTGCTCCTTCCTATGCGCCTCTCATTCATATTATATACCCATTGAATAAATCACTCGCCAGTCGCCACCATATTTTTCAAGGCAAATTGCATTTGGATTTGGATTTGGAACTTACGATGAAACTACTTGATAAATTATGATTTTAGTTTCTATGATCCGGCCTTTTATGTATGTTTCCGTGTTTGGCTAGTGTACGTGCTTCTAAACTAATTTAATGTACAATTAGTTTAAGTTTACAACATTTACATTATTAGAGAGTGATGTGAATTTTCAGTCATCTTAATGACATTCAATTCGTCAAAACAAGTATAGTTCAGCAGTAATTAGCATATACCTTCACCCATGAGGTTGTGAGTTTGTTCCTCACTCCCACATGTTGTACTAAAAAAACAACATTCAAGTCAATCCATATCCATCCATAGTGGTTGTGTGGCACATTTCAAGACCATATATTAGGAAAGGAAAACTGTCCCGATTAAGTAGTATTACCAACCTTTCTTTTACTTAAAAATACGACTGAACAAGTTTTTTTCTTTTTTATTGAGTACCATATGTGGGGTGAGAATTCAAACTCATTATCTTTTAATTTGAATTTTAACTAATTGAACTATGCTCTAATTAGCTACGAGCAACTTACTAAAGACTTTTGCATTTTTCTTCTTCACCAATGTTAATACTCAAATGTTAGAAAATAGGTTGTTTAAATACTCTTTCGATGCATGTATTTTTTATTTTTTGTTAATTTTGGTCATATATTTTAAAAACATCCAACTTTTGTTCATTTTAATCTTGCTTTTGAAATGTTTGTTCGAGTTCTTTACTTTTAAAAAGTGACCATTTAGGTCTTTTTTTTCATTTTTATCTTGCTTATTTCGATTAAAATATTAACATGATACTTAATTCACTAATTTTTTTTAAAATTTTGTAAATTTGGATCAAAATTATCCTTTTTTTTAAAATGACATAGACCAAAATAGATATATTGATATCAACACAGTATTTAAACCTAAAAAAAATTCTCTCACTCAATAATGTTATGAAGTATATTTTAGAAAAGTTTTATTCTAAATTATGTCATTGTTTATAGTTATTGAATGCATGAGGGAAAAAAAATTCTTATATGACTCAATTTAGTTTGATCTTAGGAGCATTTAAGAGGTTAAAGAAATCTTTGGTCAAAAAAAAAGTAGAACTTGAAGAGACCCCTGCTTTATATAATAAATGATTCCAACTACCAAATAAATTTCGATCATTAAATTTTCTAGTTAAGATATTATCATTCACGGATATAAAACTAAATATGAAAATCAAGAGGTTGTGAGTTCGAATTCCCTCCCCAACATGTTGTACTAAAAAAATATATATGAAATTTAATATACGAAAATTTCAAAGGCTAAAATTGAGAAATTTGTGATAATATCATTCACGGTTCACGGCCATTTTAATATATAGGTTTAGTAAATATATTAAATTTTTTTTTTCTTTCTGATCGTTATTAGCCACTTAATCCCTTCATCATCGAAGTCTCTTCAACAAATTAGAAAATGTATTTTCTAATTTCCACCATATTTTGAGAGGAATTAGACTCATTGATAACTTTGAATTTAATTACTATCTTTTCATTTTTCTTTGAAATAGTTTGATTTGATTACTAATCAATCCACTTCCATCTCTTTTCTCTCTTTTTTTTTTTATTTTTTTTTATTTTTGACTTTGGTGAGTTGACAATGCCAAATAGACTCTTCTTTTTTTCCTTCTTTCCACTTTACAACACCTAAAGAAAAATTATTCCAATACTTATTTATTACAAATACCAAAGAGGAAAATGATAAAGCTTTGCAATTATGTATACAAATACCAACACCATCTTTTTCCCAAATTATTTTTAGGGCTATATTTTTGTTAAAAGTGGTAAATTTAGCCCCTGGTTGTAATAATTTAGTCAATGTATTTTCAAACTAGTAATAATTTAGTTTATAAACTTTAATGTACAATAATTTAGTTCCTATAATTTAAAATTTGTAACAATTTAGTTCCCACCATAAAAAATCTCATCAAAATTAAAATATTGATTTTTATCATATAACGATTTCGTCTTTGTAAAACATAAGCATATTTGGTCCTCCATCGGTTTATCGATCTACATATATAAAAAATTTAACGTGTTAGAGTATTTGTCGAGACTTCTAATATTTTAAGGCTATTTTTCTCATTAATTTCAGGACTTTGTTTCTAGCGTTTAAACAATAAATACGTCTTTATTGATTTTACTCATTTTAAGAATCGATAAAATTATGGGTAGATTTTTAAGTAAGAAATGTATTATTTTAGTTCAACAATCACGGAGTGAGGATATTGAACCATCCACTTTTAGGATGATAATAGATGTCTTAGTTATCCACTAAACTACATTCAAATTTGCGAGAAATGTAATTCTAAAGTCACATTTCTTAGTTTATTATACTTGTCTAAGACATAGTGAAGTTGTTAATTTTTCATATATATTATATATCATAAAAGTTATATTAAAACCCTATAATAATTTTTTATATTTTATTTTTGTTTGCCATTAAATTAGATAGTATAGTTCGAAGAAAATTCTAATAGAATCATTAGAGTCAAATCAGAAAGGAAGCCAGTGGAATCATTGAACTCTAAACAACATAAATAAACCAAACCAATTGATTTAATTTGGTTTGTTGGGATCTATTTTATAATACATTCAAACTTTTTATCAATAGAAAGTTTAGTTTGAAAAATGAGTATATTAATAGTTTTATATTAAAGTGAGCTTGGTATTTAATATTGAGTGCCAATTGATTTACTTAACTTGGATCCCCTTATTTTAAAATGTCATTTATATTTAGTCCAAATTAACCATATTAAAAACTAAAAGTTTAAATAATAATTTTTTTCTTAGTACAACAGACGGGGGATTCAAACTCGTGACCTCTTGGTCAGAGACATGTGTCAATTACTACTAAGTTAAGCTCATGTTTGCTATATAATTTTGATTTTGTCATTTTAGACTATGTACTTTCAAAATGTTATTTTTTCCACTGCACAACTCACTTGTTCATATGTAGCTAATATGAACATCACTCGACGACTAAGGTATTTACTTCCTTCCTTGAGGTTGGAAGTTCATATTCCCACCATAATATAAAAAAGAAAAAAAAAACACAGTAACAGACCTACAAGCTCATGTAATTATGTGGCAAAAGCAATGATCAACTTGATCGATGCTCGATATAAGATGTCAGAGCTTGAAGAGCTGTTCAAGATGTGGAGTTTCAAATTTTCGTTTCTGTATCAGAACAGGGCATCTGTTTCCTATCAGAACAGAAACTGCAAGTTCGATCCAGACTCAGATTTCTAGAGACTACCTTTTTTTCTCTATATAAAGACAACTGAAGGGACGAAATTCCAACTCCATATAAGATAATTTGGATCAAACAGTCCAAATTCTGTCTCTTAGGAAGAACAAGATTCCAAACATCCAATTTAATCAATTATATTGAAATGATAATACTCCACAGAACAGAGAGAGTCTTGTTTGGAGATGTTTTGACTCACCATTTGAATGAATCTGAATTCATGAAGGAATAAGTTTTAAAAGTTTAATCTTGGGAAACCGGTGATTAAAGGAAATCAGTACTTTTTGGGTTTCCTCAGAGTTTGTTGGTTCCGTTTTGAGTTCAATAACACGTGGGAATAGATATTCAAACCTCCGACCTTTTGGTTGAGAATTCATATCTTAACTAACTGAGCTACGCTTAGGTTGACGATTTGTTGGTTACTTTTGTTCTAAAATCCAAGGATTTCGTTCGTTGGATAGGTGACTTGTATTCAGACTAGTTTTTGAAGATGTATTTCTATATGATGTATAGTTTCCTGTAAATTCTCACTATCTCAATGAAAAGTAGGTAGAAACCATAAGTTTGTTTTCTACATTTCAAATCTAGGCATAGTTTAACTAAGCTGAACAACAAACATTATCAAATGCACTCATTTCTAAAAATCTAAGTACAGAAAAAATGTTATACAACTTCAAGAGCTTCACAATATGTGTTATATCTTGAATAATGCATATAACGGGAAAGCATATGCTTAATAATTGATATGAATCTTTAAAATACAGAAAGTGAATCAACCAAACAAACCACGGGAGTTATCCAAAATGGTATGAACTCAATGCTTTCTTTTCATGGAGTTATGTCTAGGAGGGTGGCGCTGAGGGTCTCTATAATCAGCAGCGAAAGCAAAACCAGAAACTTCATATTTTTCAGCTATATTACATTTACCTCTAAATCTGCAGTACAATCTAAGTTCTCTCCCTCCAACTAAGTTATTTGAAGCCTTTAAGTTCAGTCCCTCTTCTCTATCGTTTTTCATCACTAAAGGTTCAAATGACTCCATTCTTCCAAGCCCCTTTCTGCCGATTCTCGTGGTATCATCGATGTCATAGGAGATATCCTGCTGAATTTTTGATCCTGTCGCTAATCAAAAACCCCCAGTACAATAGGTAAAGAAAAGCAAAAGAAAAAACGAGGTATGTTTTTTAACCAACCATGAAACGGAAAGCATACCCTTAGTAAAAATGAAGCATTGTCTTCAGTTCCTGCAAGCCAGTTTTACCTTATATGCGAAGTGGAGAACAGATTAAGAAACTGCCATAATTGTCAATATAAAGATTCACAAAAGATACGGGATGGAGAAAGAGCAAAATATACCTCGAACAGCGTGTGCAAGAGACTTCCCAACCACGGAGATGATACAGAAAAGCCATAGAACTGTTAAGCTGATTGAGCTTTTTTGCACCATACCGGCCGGGTTACTTCATTCTCCTGTATGAGCTTTCCACATTGAAACGAGGGAATGAGAGATTCAAATGTGGGTTTTTCGAGGGTTTTATAGATACTAAAAAAATCAAGTCAAAGCTAGGAATTCAAAGCCTACCACTGTATAAAATATATTCTTGATGTGTGCACAACTTAGAAATAAGTAAAATATAGAGGAATTTAAAGAAAAACTGTTTTCCAAGACCTGGCCATATGGATTATTTTCCTTTTATGCAAGCAAAGAGAGGAGGAACAGATGGGGACCAGAGTTTACCTTAAATAGTCCACTTCAAAGTCTTCCTCCATCTGATTATACTGTGGACTTGATGCAAAAAATAAGCTGAACAATCCCAACTTCTCCACAAACTTGAGAGTTTTTCGCCCAAGATGGTTTGAGGAATTCCAAAGAGGTTGGCGGGTTCCATAACATTTATCCTTGTATGCCCATGCTTTGAACATCATGTTAACATACAGGAGAAAGAATGAAAGAAAAGTGGCTAAACAGTATCCTTGACAGCAAAATAAGCTTGATCTTGCAAGTCATTCGACACAAGCTTGCAGGCTGAAACGGCGCTCAACCAGACTATGTGCTGAGTCTAACGGTATTAGCTAGGAAGTCATAGACATGGAAGTCAAACCACATTATTATGTGAATTACACCCTATTCTTATAGCTCAACTTCTTACATAACCCCACCGGAACCTGTGGCTACGGGGTGAGATATTAAGGTCTGATGATGTGAAATCTGAAATGATTCAACATTTGAAAAACCAAAGTGGGATGGTTCATGTTGGTGAAATGCTGAATTCCCTCCATCTCACAATAGCTCCAATCTGGTCCTAACAGAAATTACTTTGAAAGAAAAAGGAAAAAGCTCAAGATTTTAGAATTCTGAAGCCAATTTACATTAGATTTAAGAACATAGCAAGGGGCAAATATCTGGTGTGGTATAACAATTCCAGTTAAACTAAAAACTACTTGAAGAAATTTTCCTTTATCATGTCCTGAACAGATAATATAAATCATTCTTTTTACATAAGCGAAAAGTTCTGCAAACTTTATATATGCAATTGTCAAAACAACAATTTTCCAACCATAGAAGTTAGCCTGAAAGCTCAGATTCAAATGATGTTCAGAACATCTTGAAGTACTACGTTAACTGAAGCAGCTAGTAGCCCAGAACCAAACCCAACACTGCAAGTTCCTGCAAATGGCACTAACATTCTTGATCGTCATAATTGAACTTTTAAGTCAGCAGCCCACAAAAATGTCTCGGATCGAACTGCAAGAGCAAGGGAGCTTATTTCCATAGAGATAACTTGGAGTGAACCTGAACCAACACATCAGAAAATACAAACTTGGCTTCCATTCTTCCCAAATGTCACCATATCACCCAGATAATTTCCTTGAATGCAGTTTATCCCATGCTCAAGCTATGAAGTTAAATCCGTGAACAGAAAGTCTTGGTTGAAACTATTATTTTATTACTACTGCTAATCTTGCAAACAAAATTGGTCTCCTAGGCTTATGACCACGCAGTTAATCCACCAAAACAGTAGAATAAACTTGGATGATCGCCCAGTAATCACCTAGTGAGGAAACAATATACATGGATATGGACACGAAGAAGTTATATGAAAAATTGAGCCTCAAATAAGAAAAGATGTAATAAAGAATCTTCACTGGAAACAAAAATGTAAGCTCAGAATACAGAAGCATCAAATCTTGGTTCATAAAAGCAGACCTGGCTGTTACATGACTGCAGAGCACAGCCAGCAATCCAGGACCAGATTTTTTTATCCACGTCATAAAGAAGACTTTTCCCTTGGTTCCAAGATGTAAAGCAGATCAGATTATCCTGTCCAAAGCACTCAAATCTCTCAGCTGATAACCTCAACAAAACTCGAAAATACCTTGGTGGCATTCTACTAATCTCCACCCACATAATCTTTGCATGATCCAGTTCCCAAATTCTCATGCTTTGAAGAGTGCTATAAAGGCCAATCCTTCCAACTAGAAATAGACGCTTCTGTGTACCAGAAACCAAATACCCGTCCAACAATGAACGAGGGAACCTAGCAGGAATGTGTTCCCAATAGCCTGTGTCCAGCCGATACATCATCAAACCAAGTGGTGAAAGGGCTTCCAAATATAACTTGGAATCACAATACGCCATCTTCGAGGAGCAAAGATTTACTGCAGGCATTGTCTGGTGAAGTGACCACCGGTTCAGCTTTGAGTCATAAACTTCAGTAGGTAAAGACTTGTCACCATAAATATCACTAGTTGCAACGACTTTAAATGACCGATCTTTCTGATCAACAACCAAAATCAGCTGCCTCTGCTGATTATGATGCATACTTGGCAATGCCCTCCATTTTTGTGTGAGGGGATTGCATACCAAGGTTTTGAAAGTTAGCCCGTCCAGCCCAGAAAAGCAAACAAGACCACCAGATGAACCGACCAACCAGAACGCCCAGGGAGGCAAAAATGTGAACGGAATCCTATACCATGTTTTTAACGGCAGGCTGAAGACTGAGCATTGGGGGGTTTGAGAATTCTTCCAAAATGTGAGAAGACAAGGCCCATGTGAGGGCACTTGCCCGTGAAATTTAAGAAAACTAGAATCTTGAAGAATCGAATTCCACCTTTTACAAACAGAACGCAGCCTGAAGATTAAAAATGGAGGAACCCTAGCTAAGATCTCATTCAACAAATCTTCAGGCAGCATCGCCCATATACTATCCTCCATTTGAACATCTGGATGAGCTGCTTTACCAAATGTCGTAACTGTTTCCTCATCTAAACCACGTGGTTTGGTCTTTATAACCTTCTGCCTTGAAGGGCTAGTGTTCCTCGATCCTGCCCTACCCAACGGACTCGTATTCCTCCCACCGCCTCTTAAAGGCGACACTTGCTCAGCAACTCTACCATCTTCACGGGGAACTCCACTCTCCAAAGATTGAGGATTAACTACTCCAGACCCAGATTGAGAAGATTCCCCAAGCCCATCCATGACGATGGTCTAATTCACAAAAGACCCAAATACGCAATAAAACTCCTTAATCTACCACGAAATCCCGAACCCTATCGAAATTCGAACGCCTATAACTTCAAAAGATCCAAAATCTTCAGGGTAAGTACCACATTTCAGTTGGGATTAAACGGAAGAGAGAAATGAAATCGAGTGGAACTTGATTCTATCAGATCCTTATGCGAGTGAAAAACGAAAACGATATAGCCATGGAACCCGAGAACGGCGCGCAGAAGCTTTGTCGGCATGGTTCCGCCATGAGTAAAAACTAAAAGCTTGGTGGAGAGCTCGGTGATTAGAAATTCGGCATGAAAATCAGGAGAAGAAGCCTGTTCCTTATTTTCTTTCGATTTTCTTCCTTCCCATCTTTCTCAACTGTTCGCTCCTTGTTTGATTTTCTCCGCGACTATTTCGCCGAATTATTATTATTTTTTAATTTCAAAAAAATAAATCGCAGGAAATATTCAGGTACGACAGTTGTACGTGGGATTGGATCCTCACCAAATCGTAAGATGCCACGACCAACATCTGATTCTTTTCTTTCTTTTGTTTCTTATTTTCCCTTTTTTAAAGTCTAGTATAGATATTCTGATTTATGATTAAGATTTAAATCATAATTTAGTTCCTAAACTGGTATTGATTTTTAAAAAGTTTTGATCACATAATTAATTTTTTAGTTATACTTCCAATGAGTACTAATATGGTATTATTATTAAGAGAATGCTTATATAATATAACAAGTATATTATACTAATTTTGAACGGTTTTCTAAAAAATAATAGTAACTTAATTGATAGGATAGACAATTAAATAAGGGAGAATTTCCAACTTCTCAAAAGAGTAATTGAATTCAAGTTGTCACTGTGTACTAAAAATAGAAGAATTGAATTTAATTAAACCACCATATATTTTGAACTATTTTTTAAAACATTGTGGTTTATATTTAAAAAAATTTTAAATTTCATACCCGAAGTTGGAAACTCAATTATGAAAACAACATTTTTATGTTTTCATTATTTTCAAACCATAAGTTTTGAAACTTTAAAATGCATCGTTATGTTAAAAAAGATAAAAACTTTGATAAATATATTATTTCATATTATAAACTCGTTTTAGTTGAAATTAAAACGTGTAAAAATATAACATAATATTATAAATAATAATTCTACGAAATTTACGATATGTATTTTTTTTTAATTAATACTATTTTAGATTAAGTTTAATAGATAACTATCACTAATTTATAAATATATAACTAAACATGTCGAATAATTTTTTAAATTAATATGATTCTAGTTTTCATCAAATTTTTTTTTAATAGAATCCCACTTTGCTTGTTTAGTTATGTCATTTTTAAAATGCTCCAAATTTAAAAAACAAAACATATATTTCTTAAATTTTTTTTTTAATTTAACTACAATTTTAATACATTTATCTCATTTATTTATATCACAATTTTAGTATAACAAAAAATTAGTCAAGTGATTCCATTATATATAAATTTTGTACTAATATTTTAAAATAAAGATCAAAATGTTCACTTTTTAGAAGTATTGGACGGACTAAATGAATAAAATTTTAAATAATAAAAACTAAAATGAATATTTCAAATCCAAAGCCAAAATATAATAATCACAACAATATTTATTTGTTCTTTTTAGTGTTTGAAATCTAACTAAAATATATTTACAAATAGGTAAATTACATACTGAAAAATAAAATTTTCAAACTAGCATATTTTTTTTTCAAAATATAAAATAAAAACATTACGTCTATAATTTTTATTTTCGGTTCCTAAATTAGTACATATTTGTTTTTTATTTATTGTTTTTTGTACAATGATGGAAGATGGAAAATTCGAACTCATAATTTATTGGTTATAGAACCGTATCAATTAGCGTCGAGCTAAATTTATATTCACGAAAATGTATTGATTAATATAAATGAATGAAAAAAAAAAAGAAGATAGCATATGACACAAGGCACACATTAATATTTCCCTTGTGAGCTGTGACTACTTCAAGTGTATAAAATTGGGGTCCACTAAATTGCTGGTCATTTTTATTAACGGGGCTCCACGACTTCTAAAATATGGTTGTTGAGTTTTTTAAATAATGTGCTTTATGGAGGAAAAAAAAAGGGTTTATTTGATTTAGATGTTTCAAAAATATAAATCCTTCAAAGTTTGTGCCTTTTTTCTTTAACTTTTCTCAATAACTCTAATATTATAAGTAATTGAATCTTCTCAATTGAACAATAAATAAATGCATGGTTTTAATTTTTACCCTTATAAGACACATAAATAAATATTTAAAAAATAAATATAACATATCATTTTTGAAAATTTAGAGATCAAAACAAAACAAGTTAAAAAATATTAAGGATCCATGCAGGATAATTTGCATTCTTTTAAGTCTGAATTTGAATTTGAAAGGCAAAATGTTTTTTTAGAGTAATTAGTATATCTACACACAAATAAGTTGATAGTGAGGTTTATGGTGTGGACATCTCAAATTAATGGTGATTGATAATACATATCAATTAATGACCATGCTATATGAGGTAGGTCAAACCAAGTCGGTGTCCTTTTGGCACGAGAGAAGATCGAGAAGGTGTGACTATTCTGGCTCGTGCATAATTTAATGAGTTGTACTCTGATTATCTTTCCATATTTATAATTTATATTTGAAAAAAGGACTGAAAATAGGTTTTTTTTTAAATAAAAAGGAAGTTGTGAAGGTGGAAACATTAGCATGATTTAAGAACTAATGCTATGAAAATATTTATAGAATTAATAGTTCTATGTGGATGATATTTTGAAATAGTATTAGAAAAAAATACGTATATATTTGTTTATAATAGTTATTAATAGAATAAATATATTGAAACAAAACTGAAAAACACATTTTTAAAAATAAAAAGAGTTGTGGGGGCGAGATCATTGACATGATGCAAAGAACTAATGTTATGAAATTATTTTTATAATTTCTTTTTTAATATAATAATTTGGAAATATGTGAGATTGAATCTCCGACCTTGAAAGAAGGAATACATGTCAATTACTATCGAACTATGTTCATGTTGGAGAAAATGTTTCTAAAATTAAAATTTTTACGTGGATGAGATTTTGAAATAGTATTATAAAAAAATACATACATTTGTTTATATTAGTTATTAAAAACCACGTTGGATAACAACAATTAAAAAGGGAAAGAAATTTTAGTTCTAGTGAAATAAAGAAAGAACTAGATAGAGAAAAATTTTAGATATATTTTGCTAGAGAAAAAAAAAGATTATAAAGAGAGAAAAATTATAAAAACTGATAATTTGAGAGATAGTTAAAAGTTTGAAAAAATATTAAATGCTTAGAAAGAAAAAAAAGAATGAGAATGATATGTTGGGAAAAAAATAATATATATAGATGAAAACTTTATCGAGAATGAAAAATAATAATAAATATTATGGACATGAAAATTTTAGAGAAAGAAAATTAAATTTTTGGAGATAAAATTTTGTGAGAAATATGAAAAAATAAATGTTGGGCATCGTTTTAAAACGGAGATTTTGAAAAGCAAAAGTTACTTAGAATTTATAAAAATATAAAACAAAATGGTTATCGGTCTTTTAACAATAATTGATATAATCAAAATATTTAATAAGAACAACTTATAAGCCTAAACATCATTGGGTAAATCAAACTATTTGATCAGCTAAGAAATATATTAAGAATTTTATCTTATATTGAAACATTGTAGAGTCAAATAATTATTCCATATGAATTAGTTAAAATTTATGTAAATTAGTCTAAACGCTCGTATAATTAGGCCAATCTATTTGTCATTTCCTCAACGTAAAGGACACTTTGACACGTTAACCCTATCTCGGCAAGTAACTATCGAGATAAAAGTAACACTTGCGAAAGACGACTTTTATAAATAGAATTTGAAGAGAAAATTTATTAGGTCGAAGAATGAAGGGAAATGACACTCCAAACCATTGACAGAAGCAAATTGAATTCAATATGGCAGCAAACCATGGACAGCAACATTAATAATGTCACAACCACAAACAATGTTTGTAAGAACAACTATTATAGAGCATCTTGGCAGAGTTGTCCCAAATGACATTATTGTTATTTTTTTTCTACAACAAGTTGTTGTGTTTTTATTACCTTCTTAGTAGGAAACAAAACTACTTCTAAATTTGTCGAATTTAGAAAAATTGTTTAGATAACGATGATATTTGGAGCTGGAGAAGTGAAAATGGGAGTCGGTAGACTAATTTGTACTACTAACTAATATTTATTGGCAGTTAAATTTGAATGGAGATGAATATGCACTCATCTAATATAGAAGTAGCGGTCACTTCTAATGGTTCATAGGATTAAAAAATAGGACGAGGTTAGGAACAAGTAAGATTTTCTTGGTATTTTTTTCCTCGAGACAAAAAATTTATTCAAATAGAATTGAGCTCGAGGGCAAAGAACTCCACCTCACCTAAACGTTTGCCATCGAGACTAATGCCGATGTATTAGGCCTAATTCAAACTTCAATATTGTTGGGTTTTAAATGTGTCTACAATTTAAACAAAGTTTTAAAAATACAAATCAAAATTAGATGGATCGTATATTTTTAACCGTCATAGCATGAAGTAATAATAATTATTTTGTCAATTAGAGCATAATTCCGTCTATGATGTTGAAGGTTCTATTTTGCATATTATGAATATAAAAAAAGAACTTATTTCAAAGTAGACAAATATATCAACTTTCGAACTCAAGGGAATGAGTAAAATTTAGCGGACAAAAAAAATGACGTCTGAATCAACCAAACTAATTAAGGCATATATCATTTGGAGGTAGACTAATTTGATAACAATTTTGTTAGTTTGTTAATTACTTTATAATTAACGAGTAGTTTCATAACAATTTCCTTGAAATGTAGTTATTAATGTTTTGCATTATTTTACTGTAAAAGAAAATCGTTGTCCACAAATTAATGACTAATTATTATATGAATGAGAGTATTTTTTTTGCCCCACTTTTCCATTTTCCATACCTTTGTTTGCCTATACTTAGAAAAATAATAGTTGGGAAAAGAAAATTGTTTGGTACAAAGTGGGCCCTTGAAAGCCAACTCTTTGAAAAGATAGATAACTATCATGTTCACATTTCTCTAGTGGGCCCCTTGCATTTCTTAAGTAAAGTTAAATATTTAATTTTTTCAGTTAAAAAAAAAAAAAAGGTAATCTTGAAATATTATGGAAAAATGGAACATTGATGCAACAATTATGGATAAAATTATAAACTTAGCCAACAAAATCTTTTTTTTTTCTTTTTTTTTTAAAGATTTTTAACTTCATTCTGATAGTTTCATTTATTTWTTTTTACTTATGCAGTCCAACATTACTTTTAATTTCGACATTATGGTTCAAGTACGTGACAATAGTGTACAAAATAAAAATTTTCATTTTGTGTTGAGAAAAGTCGAGCCTACGTTTAGTAGACGTATTTATTGATATAATACCATTATTTCACTAGTCTCACAAGCAGCATAAAATCAAGCAACATTACCTAAAATTTAAAGAACCTATATATATATATATATTTTAATACAAATTATAACACAAACCACACAAGTTCAATTTTCATATTTAATTAATAGCTCCCAACTAAACTATAAAGACCAAAAAGACCAAGCTCTCAAACTTCATAAAATAAATGTGGTCTTTAGCTTTGCCCAATTAATTGTCATAGTTTTTTTAGGCAATTGAGTTCAGTTATGAGAGGTAGGGTTTTCCACACTCTATCCCTTTGTTTGACCACATTTCTTCAATCCCCAACGTCACCCTCCGAGTCCCATTTCGTAATTATACGATTTTATAAAGATGAATTGTGTGTTCTAGAAAATATTACATTACAAAAAAGAGGATAAGATTTTCAAATCTATAATAGGGACGATGATGTATGCCTGCTTAACTTATGTTAATATTGATATAAATACAAGATTTTTTAAATCAACAAAATAAAAATGTAAATGATCGAAGGGATAACACTCCTAAAAATAAACATATCTCAACATTTGTTATCAATTATTATACTTTCGACTTATTACCGATTTAAAATGCTTTGTTTGATAACCATTTGTGTGTTATCAACTTTTTAAAAACATTTTAATTTTTTAGTTTGTTAGTACAACAACATGCGAAGTGTAAATTTAAACTTACGACCTCTCCATTGGACAATATATAATTGAACGAGTTAAGCTGTGTTTAGATTAACTAATTTTAATTCTTTGACTAGATAGAGATGAAAACATTCAATCCTCCGATTTTGAGCAACCAAATATAACAAAATAGGATAGCCAATACAGTTCAATAATATATTTGTTTGAACCTAAAAATTGTTATTTCCCAAGTCCCAAACTTGGAATAGTAAGACATAAAAATGTGTGTGTAAGAGGAGCGGGGATATCAATGAAAAGACAGACAATTGCCAGCCCTATCCCCACATCCAAACACCACCGAATCCCTAATACGTGTCTTCCCCCACGGTAATCCCATCACCAAACAACCCCCAATTCCATTTCTCCCTGATCCAAATTCCCCCAAATCCAGAAAAAATTAAAAAATAAAGGCTGTCACGCAGTAAAAATAACCACCCAATCTCTGTCCATCTCTATACCCTACAAGGACACGTGTCGCTCGGTCAATGACACTGTACTTTTTCTCTCACACATCACTGTCACCAGTGCACTCCCAATAATTCCCGCACGTGCTTCCTTCCCCCTCCCCGCCGGAAAAGCCTCCATTTTCCCCTTCTTCCCCCCATCTCCCAAATTCCGAACCCTAAAACTAAAACCAGATTTTTTATTCCTTCTTTTTTTCCCTTCGCTTTGATTGATCTCTCCACTTGTTCTAATACATTCCCACGCACCGACCCACCACTCGAAGAATCGGAAAGGCGTTCGCCGTTAGTTGTAATTTTTTTGATATTTTGGGGGATGTGTGTTTGTTTGATCTGAGGGCTTTTTCGTTGTTGTGTTGGGCGTCTGATTTTTGGGGGAGATGGGGGCGGTGACGTCGTCCATGGCGGCGAAGTTTGCGTTCTTTCCGCCGAATCCGCCGTCGTATGGGGTGGAGGAGGTGGAGGAGGGGAGCGGGAAGCTGGCGATGACGGGGGTGGCGGCGAGGGGAAACGTCGACATTTTGAAGCTCAACACGAAAAGGGGAAACCAGGTTGTGGCCATGTATGTAAAGAACCAATCGGCTACTCTAACGTTGCTTTACTCTCATGGGAACGCGGCTGATTTGGGTCAGATGTACGACTTGTTTGTGGAGCTTAGTGCCCATCTCCGAGTCAACTTGATGGGGTTTGTGAGCCTTTGGTTTTAAAAGCTTTGTATGTAACTGAAGTGAATCTGGGTTTTCGAAAGCTGGTTTTGTCATTTATATACATATTTTTCTTCCTTTTTTTCCTTTTTAGGTACGACTATACGGGATATGGTCAATCTACTGGAAAGGTATGAAATCTCATTTTCTTTTCACGTTGATCGGATTTTGCAAGGAACTTTTATGGAGGATTCAAATCTTTTGAATATTGGTATCCATCGCCTTTTCTAGCTTTGTCTGCTCTATTAAAGGAAGAAAACCGATTCGTAAATAAATGTTAAGAGTACTATGCTGCTCTGAAGAAGGAAAACTGAACCCAAGAAGGAAGGAATCGGCTTTTATCCATTTATGTGTTCAAACCCATGTGAATATCATTTACTCTTGTCAATTTTCCAACCCACGAGTAATAGGAAGTATTTATAATGTATATGTATATATATATAAACGACTGAATATACCATCAGGTGTAAGTTTATGCTAGCTTTTGGGTTTAGAAATAATTCAAATTGCATCGGTTGTTTTCTTGAAGAATTTTGAAGTCTGGGCTTTATTGTTTAACCGAGTCAGAGTTTGCTGACTTTTTCTTTTTGGATTTCTTCCTTTCTCCAGCCAAGTGAGCAGAATACTTATGCTGACATTGAAGCTGTCTATAGATGCTTGGTGGAGAAATATGGGGCAAAGGAGGAAGATGTTATCTTATATGGGCAATCTGTTGGCAGTGGACCCACTTTAGATTTGGCTACTCGTTTACCAAACTTGAGGGCTGTAGTTCTTCACAGTCCAATCTTATCAGGTGTTCGAGTCATGTATCCAGTGAAGCGAACATTCTGGTTCGACATTTATAAGGTTTACATTCATTAATTCCTGATTTTACTTTCGATGATTTATTGCTTGTCAGCTTGTGTTATGAAATTGGATTTGATGATCATTCTTTCATTTTTKCCATTGCAGAATATTGACAAAATACCATTGGTCAATTGTCCAGTTCTTGTAATTCATGTGAGTATCCTTTCGAACATCTGGTGATTACTAAGATCTTGAATGCTCGAAAATGTGGACAGTTGATGTGCTATAGAGTAGTAACAAAGTAAGCCTTCAAACATTAATTGGTTCAATCGATTCAATGCATTGCCATAACATTATACGTCATTAAATGCAAATTACGAAGGTTTCCGTTTCTATCTAATTTTTAAAAATCTGAAGTTACGAGTGTAATTATCTCATAGCAGCATTGTTTTGAGCTATTTTGGTAGCCTTACCTAACTCCCAAAAACCTTTGAAGGAGAAATAAAGACAAAGCAAAATAGTAATCGTTAAAATTAATCCATTTGAGAAAATGCTTTCGGTTGCATTTTAAAGGCTGAAGACTCTGAACAGTATGACACCTTCCATTGTTTATGTAAGTTCATAGGCCATGCATTTAACTTCTTTAGACCCACTGTAGAAATCATTAGAAGCTCAAGGACAACTTTAAAGCCATTTTGTTCATGTCATCGAAGTTGTATTCCTGCTTATTTGGTGCAGAAGCAATAAAGACATCGAAACAAAAATACTTGAACTTTAGACATGCTTTCTGGTTCCAACACCAAAATTCTTGTCTATCTTTTCATTGCAAGACAGTTGTGGAGGATTGTGGTTATTTGTATCATCTCACTGCTATCTTAATGAATTGCCTCGTTCCTTTTTGGTGGATTCTGTTTAACCTATCACTTAAATAATATGAAGTACTTGATTTTCATGTTTGAAGCATGTCATGCTGCAGTGTAGAATGAAAAGAAAAGAGACACTTTCTTAACTTTTAATTGTGGACTTGAGGTGGATGCAAGCTGTTGCTGTTGTTCATATTTACACGAGTGCCTACCGACGTTATCCCTTTGATGTGTATGCATGCCTGATCCGTGAAAATGAATATGAGTCTATGATTAACTGGTTGGATATGCCTATCATACTAACTGTCGTCCAACATATGATTGGTTTCTAGAAGCTACTGACTCATGAAAGGTGTTATTTCTTGTGTCTTGGTAGGGAACTGATGACGACGTTGTCGACTGGTCCCATGGAAAGCAACTCTGGGATCTTTGTAAAGAGAAGTACGAGCCATTGTGGATAAAGGGAGGAAACCATTGCGACTTGGAGCTGTACCCACAATACATAAGACATCTCAAGAAGTTCATTTCGGCCATTGAGAAATCAAATCCCAGAAGTGGACCTGGACAAGTCACAAATCAGCTCGACATTCCCAGAAACAGCACAGATTTTAGGGAAAAGGCAAGATCCAGCACAGATCAAAGAGAGAAGACCAGAATGAGTGTTGATCAGAGAGATAAGCCGAGGGTCAGCACAGAATGTAGAGAGAAGGTTAAAGCTGCTAATGGTAATGGAGACAAGTCAAGAAAGTTGTTAGATCGACTGGAGAAAGCGGCAACTGGTGCAGACCAGCCGGAGAAAGCAAGGAACAGTATCGACCGGTCTGCCTACGAATCTCCTCATTGTTGAAATGTTTATCATTATGCTCATCCTTTCTTCCCTTTTCCCTGAAGTTACTTCATAACATACCCAATATCATGTATGCAACTGTTTGATTAACTTGCTGATAATTTTCACTCGCATTTGCACTCTACTGCAGATTTGGGGACATGGTGAGATCGGTTGGATTATGCAATATCGATTGTTTCAAACCCACGGCAACACATGTATAGCGGAGCGGTCACTTGAGTCGAGTCGAGTCGAGGCTTAATTCTTCGCTAAGTGTTAAATTATTTGTTGGTTGTTTGGTCGAAACGGTCTAAAATGGTTGGTTTGCCATTGGAAAGTAAAGGTAGGAAATTGATTTAACCAGGAAGTATTGTGTATCTCATTTATGCTCTCAACTAATAAATCTAACCCCCTCGCCCTTCTTTCAAAGTATCATTGTTCATGGTGTTACATCTCCACTCTTCTTCTAGCTTGTTTTTACAAAACACTTAAAACAGAAATGGTGTTTTTTTCCCTTACTTTTTTGGGAAAATATAAAGTTGGGATTGTTCTTACCCTTCGTTTGAGAATGTAAGATCTAATTTGGAAAAGTATTTTATTTTATTTAACATTTCCAGGTCACTTTGTCATTTGATTTTTTTTATTGTTCTATTGAGTATATTTTTTAAAACATTAAGAATGAAATTGGTAACTCTTGGTTGAGTTATAGTGTCTTTGCATTTTCACTAGTGATAGTTTTAATCGTTGTAATTTAGGGAAATCTTGTCAATCATCTTCGGCATTCACCAATGGATTTAATTTTCATACAAATTTTATGTTGATAAGTAATTAGTTTGTGCCATATTAATCAACTGTAAAGAGCGTAGGCAGCAAAAAAATTATCAAGTTTAATGAACTAATTGACACAAGTGATGAATAAATCGACTTCATTAGGGTTATTGTTATACATATTACTATCATCGTCATTTACGATGTAGATTAAATTAATTATGCATATTAATTTATTTGATTTACGATTTCTCTTTGATCCAACTATTTAATTTTTATACTAAGTGAATATAAATTAAATGATAAATCAAGTACCTTACTCTATAATAAGGTTGACCACTTTTTTTTTTTTTTTGGTATGTCTTTATTCTTTATATTGAACGTTGGGAATGTCAACCGAGCATAATTTAATCGACTAATCGACCAAAAAGTCATGGGTTCAAATTTTCACTCTTACATACGAGAATGTTGTGAATAACACTAATGACTCAATTAATTAAACTATGTGCATATTGGTGGAATTATATTATATATATTTTTTTCCAAAAAATTTATATCTTTTAAATATATAAGCAAAAGTATTATATATTTACTTCAACATGTGGGTAGTGGAAATCGAGCCTTCAATATTGGGAAGGTAATGAGTAACAATGCTCAAATTAAAAAATAAAATAACCAAGAATCATTTGAATAATTTATTCGAAATCATTTTTCAACCTTGCAATATACCCAACAAATTTTAGAATTTGATTAAAATTTACTTGAAGATTATTTTATTTTCCAAAAACACCCTTATATTTGGAGAAGCTTATATCAAATGATATATTGTAAGCTTCTATCATCGTGACCTATGACTAGAGACATATATCAATTACTATGGAACCAGTGATTTGATTTTAAACAAAATTTATTTTGAGATATTAATATCTTATCACATGAGAATTTAAGCATATGGAAATATTATTAATATCATATTTGGGGATATTTGAGAATATTACTTGGTTGAGCAATTTAAATTACAAGAATGGATCAATTAAAGAGCTGCCAAATCGTTAAAGAAAAAGGTAAAAAGAAAAAGGAAAAAAGAAAAATTGCCTGTTAATTATGGAAAAAGAAGCACATTCCATAGGAGCCATACCAATGGTTTTGGAAGGGTTTAAGGCGGCTACCTCTCAGGCCACCCCATGAGTTCTTACTGCTTCTGCAAATTTTCCTGTCTACTGAATTTCTCTAATCAAACCACCCTCTCAATTTCTTCAAATTTCGTGCATAGCTTTCTACTGAAACTATTTCGTATAATTTAATGTCCTTTTGCCAGTGTTCTTCCAATCTTACCAGCAAATTTGATCATCATCATTCCCTTCCGTTGCAAAAGCCCACGAATTTTCACCTAGCCCCTTCGATGATATCCACGTCTGTGTGGAAAATCATTGCCAAGCAAGCTATTTCTCGGAACCGGAAGTTTCGTCTTGATTGGCATTCCTTTTCCCGCTCACATGGCGTTCTGGGTCGTCCCCACGAGTCTTTATTTCCCGAGAAATTTATGTCTGGAAGTTCCGTTTTTAGTTCACTTCCCAAGTTCGGGACATGGGAAATGGATATTGGCCGAAATGAAATTTTGTCCCAGGAAGTTTATGGCAGCAGATTTTGTTTTGGGTCCGTGGGAACTCGGATTGGATTAAATGGGATGTGCCCAAAAGGATTTTCAAGTGTTGCTGAGGCGGTTTCGTCCACGGATGTTGACGAAGATGCATCTGTTGACGATGAAATCCAAGAATTATTGCAAGAAATGACCAAAGAAGAGAAGAGGCAGGTTGAGTATAGGAGGAGGAGGCAGAAAATGGCGAAGGGAATGGGACAAGGGAAGTATCAAATGCTAAAGAGGAGGCAAGTGAAGATAGAGACTGAGGCGTGGGAACTGGCAGTTAAGGAATACAAGGAGCTTTTGATGGACATGTGTGAGCAGAAGTTAGCACCTAATTTGCCGTACATGAAGTCCTTGTTTCTTGGCTGGTTCGAGCCTCTGCGTGACGCCATAATTAAAGAGCAAGAATTGATCCGGGAAGGGAAGAACAGGACTGCATATGCCCCGTATTTTGATCGATTGCCTGCTGATATGATGTCAGTAATCACAATGCATAAGTTGATGGGGTTGTTGATGATGGGACACGAGCACGGTAATGCCAGGGTTGTGCAGGCTGCCTGTGTCATAGGAGATGCCATAGAACAAGAGGTGCTTCTATTTAATGGTCGAATTATCAGTTGTTATGTATTTTTAAACTCCCTGACAGGTCTCAGGAGAGCTCAATTCACTTATAGTTAGTTAGTTTGTTAAGATCATGGGAAATAATTCACTCAGTGAAGATGGATATATAGTTTAGAAAAAAATGAACCAAACTAAGAAGGAAATCTTTTCAATTTATTAAATGAGAGTAAAAAGATAAGACGAGCCTTCCTGTGTCGTTCTGTTTAGGTGATATCAACAAAAATGATGAAATTCTAAAAAGATGTCCAAGTAGGTGCCTGTGTCCCTGTAGGCATGTCTGTACAAAGAGACCATTGAAGATCACGATTCATGATCACCTCTTCTTTTTTCCTATCTGCTCTCTTGGTCTAAAACTGTAGGGAAGTTTGGGGATATTTTCAACTATCCGAGAGTAGCCCACAGAATGCTTGAAGGTTTTTTTTTTGCCAAGTCTTTGTGACATCCGATAAAAAGAGAAGGCAAAGATTCTTTGGGCCATTTTTATTTATTTTAATTTTTAGAAATAATATATATATATAAAAGCTTCTGTTGATGTTTTCCTCCCCTTTTCTTGTATTTTTATTTCATTCCAAAATTGGGTTCTTATATAAAAATAAATATTTTTCCTCTTTGTTTCTGACCTTATAGACAATGCCATATGTTTATCAATTGTTACTGTGGTTGAATGGGCTGTTAAGATAACCTTATTTTGGTTAATGTAGAATGCACATTTGGTTGCATGTTTACTTGTTACCATTTTAAAGTTTTAGTTATTATTTGCAGATCTCTTCATCTTTTTGTATCATGGCTTAAGCTACATTAGTTGAAGCAGTAACTTTGGGGTGTGTTACTTGCCTAGGTGCAATCTGAGAATTTTTACTCTTTAGCTATTATTCTTGATATGACTTTTTTCCCCATTGAATTGTAAGTTTGTAACCATAGAGTTGCTTATTCGTGTCAGATTAGAATTCACAATTTCTTGGAGAAAATGAAAAAGAAAAAGCATGACAAAGATGGTGAGAATAATGATAAGCCTGATTCTCTAATCAAGGAGCAAGAGAAGTTAAGGAAAAAAGTCACCAACTTGATTAAAAAACAAAAGCTTCCTGCTGTAAGACAGATAGTGAAGGGAGCTGATGATTCAAAACCATGGGGCCAGGATGCCAAAGCAAAGGTCTGGGTCATCTTTTCTATATACTAGGAAAATAATGGTTGCATGTTCCTGATTTGCAAGCTTGCTAAAATATTGAGTATTTTTAGGTTGGGAGCCGTCTGATTGAGTTGTTGACACAAACAGCTTACATACAACCTCCTGCTGATCAGTTGGCTGATGGTCCACCTGATATTCGTCCTGCATTTCGTCACTCATTCAGAACTGTGATGAAAGAAGCAAAGTAAGTCATTTATTTATCATCATCAATTAGTTGTTCTGTAAGTTCCCTTGGATGCTTCTCTCTGTACTTTTTTAATCTTCTGATGGATAGTATTGTTTCTTATAAAATGTTTTATTTGCCTGACTTTATTATTTTGACACTTTTATCAGCAAGAATTCCAGCCGGAGATATGGTGTCATTGAATGTGACCCTTTAGTCGTCAAAGGCTTAGAGAGAACTGTAAGTAAACTGAATCCATTTTGTTATTGGAAAATTTTCATGTGTCCCATTCTTCTGCGTTTCATTGTTGAGCAACACCATTGCCAACTTCACATTTCCTTTTCCAGTTTTTGGTAATTGTTTGTTTGGTAGAAACAGTTTCATGTGTAATTGCAGTTGGGAAGAATTAGTTAGTATGGTTCATGTTCTTTTTCAGTTTGTTTATCATTGGAGTATTTCTTGCACCATGAACATGTCATGGAATTTCTTGCTGCATTTTCTTACTATATGTTGTACAATTTATGAGTTGTTTTTCTCAAACAGGCAAGACACATGGTGATTCCATATATGCCAATGTTGGTGCCCCCAGTTAACTGGACAGGGTATGTTATTTCATTTTGCATTTGTATGGAATCTACTTCCGTGTAAATTTCTTGTTAAGATTAATTTTCCATGAGAATTAATACTCTGTACCAAAAGTCCTGCATACAGGCATCTTGATTGAGCTCTTTTAAGTGGGTGGAATTATGGAAGTAATGATATGTGAAAGAACAAAATGAATGGCTCTTCTGCTGAAGTGCCAAAGAGATTACAAAAACTTTTCCAATTGGCGCAACTCAAAAGAGAAGCATAAGAAAAAGGAGAAACGTGAGAGTAGACTAAGAAGAATACTAGAAAATGCCCCACAACTCTAATCAATCTGTAGGAGATGTTTAGCTCACAATTTTGGTAATTTTGAGGTTATGAAGCTTAGGTCTGTGTAATGTGTATTTGGATTGTGCAAACAGATAACTTATAAAAATCTGGCTTGTGTATCCAATGTTTGG